ACGTTAAGTTCAATCTAAAAACAAAAGTTCAACTTTTATTATTTTATGCATCATTTTTACACACACTCCTTTGATGCTTAATAATGTCTGATAATTTAAGAAGTGAAATCATTAGACTCACTCAAATAAATAAAACCAGGTTGGGCAAGCTGAGATAAATTGTAATCAAAATGAAAGAAATCAGGCTAGGTGAGAACTCAATAGGTATAATATGCATCACTTAGCAAATTTAGTTATTTTATTGTTTCAGTTCTAATCAGGTGCTCTACCAACGATCATATGTTTACTTTGTCTACAGTAAAAATATGGTTTTAACTTAGTAAACTTTAATTATTTAAAATTTGCTAAGTTGATCATTAACTAATAGTTTAAAAGGAAATTAGTTGTCACAATATATATCACAATAGGTAAGAATAATTTTTTTTTCTGATCAAATTGCAAAATTTGGTTGCACCTTCTTTTATCATGTCTTAATTGTTTTATTAAACATCTTACAATGTTTTTCCAGCTTATTGCAGATCAAATAGAGGATCCACATCTCATAAGGCACATAAGATGTGGGCATGAACTTATAGCGCTCTCCGCCCCTCTTGCCTTCTTTTTTTTTTTAAATATAGTGTTGATCCTGTAGAAAGTAAAGTATGAGGAGAGACAGTGAGTAAAAGAATACGCTGCATCTATAATTAGTATTTTTGTAGTTAATTAATCTACCAATTGTTTATTGATAATGCTAACTTGATTAAATTTTTTTGTAAATACATACTTTTCTTTATACATTTCGTCTTGTTATTATGTATAAATAAATTGATTTCCAGTTAATACATGAGGTGTGTTTTTGTTCCTTTTTAAATTCGATTACTTTTTAGATTAATCAGATGACGTGTTTGTTCAATATCGACAATTAAAATTATTAAAAATTGTTATGTTTTTTTAATTTGTTAATAAATGTGTAAATAAAATTTGTTAATGTGTAAATATCTTTAATTTTACAAAGCTGTTATACATTTTTTTTGAAATACAATCCTTAAGATAATATTGTAGCATACAATAGTGGTTGAAGTAATTTGAATGGTCCTGAACCGTTTTGTTTTCACACTTACTTTATCAAAGTAAAGTAATTTTAAAGGTCTATTGAGATTACATGCATATCATATATAAAGATATTCTATAACAAACGAAATGGAGAGAATTTTTTAAAAAGCTTTTTAAATTTCTAAAAACACAAAAATACCATTTGAAGTTTGTTGCGTGCGTATGTCATGTTAGAGTTTAAGGTTTTAATGTGCTTAGTAATAGATTACACATTAAAGAGAACTTTTTTTATTATAGAAAAAAGATTTTACATGGAAACTTTACTTTACTTTACTTTAAAATTAACAGGGCAAGAGTCCTAATAGCAGGGATCTTTTTCCGAGTTTTTCTCAACTTTTTATTATTATCCGGATAGCCAAAATGTTTTCTATACAAGTTCAGGAATACATTTTTGTAATATATTTATTTTTTAAGCATTTACACTCATACTTGAATAAAAAAATTGAAACAACTCAGCTAAAAGCAAAATTAAGAGGAAAATATAATACAGAGATTTTACTCAAACAATTTTCTGCATTTTTATAAAATAACCTGGATGATCTATGGAATAATCTGCTGATGGCCTAAAAAAGTTAATAGACTTATTATAGAAAAAAATAATGTCTGTCCCCGTTATATATATATATATATATATATATATATATATATATATATATATATATATATATATATATATATATATATATATATATATATATATATATATATATATATATATATAAGTTTACAGAAGTTGTAAAGTATTGAATGTTATTCTTTAACTCAAAACAAAGATTTTTATATTAAGGTCTTTTTTAAAAATTATTGAAATTATTTAAATGATAGGCGTGGAACAAATTTATTTAAATGATAGGCGTGGAATAGACTTACCATGACCAGTAATATATTTATATTCAGTAATAATTATATGGGTCATGGTAAGTCATTTATTCCACATATTCAAATCATCTCATACTTTTTAAAACTTTTTATACCAATGGTATCTAATTTTAAGTGGGTGCTCTAAATATTATTTAGGCTGGTACTGATATCAGATTCTTTGATAGATAGCGATTTGCGCAATGACTGCCGAAACATTAAAAGTTTTTTGAAGTTAAATATAATAGAAAATTTATCTTATATCTTTAAAAAGTAAACAATAAGTATTGTTATTATATACGTATTTAATTATTTTTCTACCTCGAATAAGAATAGAAAAGGTTGGTGTGGAATAGATTTACCAAGACCAGTATTTTATGGGTCATGGCTGTCATGACCCATAAAATACGGGTAGTTGACATAGTTAAAAAGTATTATGATATTTAAATTAATTGAAAATTAATGTAATATATTTATTTTGTTTGTTTGTTTTTCAGAAAAAATAATGTTTTTAATCAGTCTCTAGTCTTTCCGTTCAATTGTGCAATTTAAAGTCCTGTTGTTACGCATAAATAAAAATTCAAAAAAAAAATTAGTCACACATAAATTAAAATTAAAAAAACCTTAGTGCAAGAGCGCCAATGATTTATGCCTTTTATTTGAAAGTTAAATTCAGTATGACATTTTTTTTTAAAATTCTCATTGAACTTTATCATATTATCCTTAAACTATACCTAAACAAAACTAAAAATTAAAACTAAAACAGAAAAATTCAAAATATAAATCTTTTCAGATTCCTAGTTATTAAGGGATTCTACTGTTTATCATTATATATTAAATGTATAGTTTATTGAAACTTTGAGAAGCGAGCTCACAAATAACAAACGGATAAATGTAACATCACTAGTTTCATGCCTTCATTACCTGGCTTTTACTGGTTGTAACAAACGGATATCTACAAATTTACGTCAGTGTATAAATTACTTATATATTATATTTGTATAGGCATATATATATATATATATATATATATATATATATATATATATATATATATATATATATACACTTACATTAATATACATATCATATTAGTATAAGTAAATTATAAAAGTCTATACTCAGTTTTTTAGGTATATAATCAATTATATACAAAATAATTCACTTGATAATAATTACATCATGCGTTCAGTTTATATTAGAAAGCAGTTTTCTGTTTAGTACAAACGATCATTGAAAAGATATCAAGTCATTACTGCTAACAGGAGATAGATGCTAACAGATAGATTGGAATGTTTACTATTTTCAAAACGTGTTTGTCCAAATAAGAATAGAAAATTTATATCATAAAATTAAAATTTGATATAATTTTTAAAAATCAAAGGTTTTAAACCACAAGTTTGAAAAGTGGAACGAGAAAACTTAGTTTAAAAAATCATATGTTAAACATTTTTAATGATAGAGTTACTAAAATGTTAGTAATAACTTATTTTACAAATGAGTTAAATATAAACCTATAAATATTTTTTTTAAACCTAATTCTTAAGATGAAAACTTTTTTCATCTTAAGAATATATATATATATATATATATATATATATATATATATATATATATATATATATATATATATATATATATATATATATATATATATATATATATATATATATATATATATATATATATATATATATATATATATATATATATATATATATATATATATATATATATATGTAAACAAAGAAAATACAACTTTAACTCTCATAACCATCATATAATGAAAAACAACACCTCAGATTCCAATAAACATTGCAATTGTATTATTAAAAGCAAGTCCCTTCTAAAACAAAAATACCTTGTAAGTAACATAGTGTATCAAGCCACTTTGTACCCAGGCACTCCAAACAGAAATGAATAAAATGTATTTTGGGGTGAGTGAAACCGCATTTAAACTTAGATACGCTAACCATACAAAATCTATTAATATCGAAAAATATAAAAACAACACTGATTTATCTAAAGAAGTATGGAGGTTAAAAAAAATAGGAGTTAGCTCGATAATTGAATGGAAAATTGTTAAACGTTGTAGATCTTACAATCCCACAGTAAAACGTTACAACCTTTGTTTATTTGAAAATCTTATATCTTTGTATATATTGATAACTTATTTTATATATTGATAACTTATTAAATAAGAGGAATAATTTAGTTTCTAAATGTAGACATAAAAGCAAATTTTTTCTTTTAAAGTTCTATTTGGGTGATTAGGCAGCCGTTTATAGTTTTTTTCTTTTTTCTTTCTGTTGTTTGTTGTTATGACGACGGAGCACACTTCATTGTAACTTTATATTTTAACAGTTTTTTTATTTCTTGAATTTGTATTACATGGCCGCTGATTGCCTTTAGGCACGAAACTACTAGTACCATAAAAAGTTATATTTTCTTTGTTGACAAATTTATATATATATATATATATATATATATATATATATATATATATATATATATATATATATATATATATATATATATATATATATATATATATATATATATATATGTATGTACGTATGTATGTACGTATGTATGTATGTATGTATGTATGTATGTATGTATGTATGTATGTATGTATGTATATATATATATATATATAATTTTCAACCCTAAATATCGCTCACGAAGACTTGATACCGAGCACGCATAATCATGCTCATTAATAACATGTTTCAGTTTTACAAGTGCAAAATATCACGCTGGGCAATTTTATTCATCACATGCACATATACATACATACATACATACATACATACATACATACATACATATATATATATATATATATATATATATATATATATATATATATATATATATATATATACATATATATTATTATTATTATTATTATAAAGTGTATAATATATATGTATATATATATAAATAATA